CAGAGGCTCGGCGGGCTCGCTTCGGCCCGCTGGCTGGCCGCCAGCTAAGCAGGGCCTCGCTCGAGTTTAGGGTTTTATGGTTTTAGGGTTTAGGGTTTTAGGGTTTTAGGGTTTAGGGTTTAGGGTGTTTAGCTTGGGTTCGAAGTCAGGTAGGATCTTTGTTTGCAGAACTCTGTATCTGCTGTGGTTTTAGCAAAGATCGTCTTCACGTTTAGACTTTTCTAGCCACAGCCGACACCGACAAAGAACAGGAAAAGCCCTAAAGTCTCCACTCTTTTCCACGGTGTGCACCACTTTGCTGGGAAGCCCCCAACCTTCACTACGAGGGTCTTGTTTACTATGTTGGTTGCGGTTATGGTTTATTGCCCACATCTCCAACAATTTGGTTGTTGCTTACCTTGTCAGGGGAATCGTGTCAAGCCCCAACAGACCATGGGATTCAGTATTAGATACAGGTTCCTACAATGGACCTACGGTTCTTATGACATAGACGCCTACATAGTAGGGCTCTTATGACTGACAACACCTTAGCAAATTACTTGTAGTTTGCAGAAACCCTGAAACCAAATCAACACACAAGCTAATGGCACCACGACTCAATCATTTCAACACAAAGCCCTAAAGCACGAAACAGGAAAAGGGCTTCAATTGAGAAACAAAACCCTGAATCCGCGACTAGCTTTTCTAGTCTAATTGTACCCAGGATCATCTCCACTGAATCATTAGTTGAAGCCCCAAGCCCTAAACCTATGTGCGCTCAAACCTTCAACCCCGAAGCCATGTATACTTAAACACCCATACCTTACGATTCAAGACCCTTGAGAGCACAAACAGCTCAGGAGGCTGAGCAGGTAGATTATAGGTAAGTTCACTACAGTTATGAGCACTTATAACTGCTGGTCCCATTAAGGTACTTATAAGCTGGGAGATTTCCGTTTTCCGAGTCTAACAGTGGTTTATAACCTTCCCTACCAACCCTAAACCCTAAACAAGGATAAGCCAGATCTTCAGACCGGTCTCCCATTGCTGGACGACTGGAGCGTCGCAGTCTTACAGCTTCTGGCTCTCTGCACAGGCTTGCGAGTGACTCCGGTTTTAGGGTTTAGGGTTTAGGGGGTTGCAGTATCCGTGCCAATTTCTGTGCGGCTTCGAAGGGGTTCTAGAGCGCATTGAAAGGTGTTTCCATGGATTTTGTCTAGTGTTTTTGAAGGTTTCAGGCTGCCTTTCAGCGTCTGGGGCTTAGGCCTTGGAGATTCGATCTTGGGGCGTTTTACTGCGCCGCTACGCCCTGCGGTAACCGTCATCTTGCAAGTCTTCGGACCCCAACACAAGGGTTTAGGGTTTAGGGTTCAGGGTTTAGGGTTTAGGGTTTAGGGTTTAGGTACACTGATCTTTTGTTGGAGCCGGTACAGTGCACCCAGAAGCAAGCACAACAGTATTGAAGAACTAATTACCCTCAAAGCTCAGTACCGCTCATGTAGAAAGTACCTTTATGCTCTGAATAAGGTCCTACAGAGAAGCTCCATATGAAGCCAACCAAGCCCCATCTCCCCAGGTGAGGAAGATCCTAAGCACTGTAGCCCCCACGCAGCCGCGGAGCTATGTCGCCCCGGGTCCCAGCGAGCCTTGTGTTTGGGGCTCTTCGGGTGTAGGGTGTTTTGTTTGGGTTCGGGGTTCAGGGGATCTAGCGGATTAGGTTTTTAGCGCTTTTGGGGTTCATTTAAAGGCTTTGGGTTTGGATTTTGGGGGCCTGGAGGTTAGGCCTGGCGGCTCTAAGGCGAGAATAAGGGAACCGGGAGTGAGAGTTGGGGGTTGTGGGCTTTGGGCTTGGAGTTTGGAAAATGCAGATGCATGGATTACTGTTCCGGATCCTGGAGCTCAGCGAGGAGTTGTCTCTGTCAACCCGGCCAATCATTCGGGTGATTTTTGTCGAGCTGCTTCAACCCGAAACCCCATGCTCCGAACCTTTGGGCTAGCTGCATTTTTGATACTTTGGATACTCAACTTTATGTAAAGTTATGCAAGATTTTCATCCTGCTTACACAAAGTCATGCAGCAGCCGGTTTGGAAGTAACCATCCTGCGTGCCCCGAACAGGCACCGTCTTCACCTCAACATTCACAACATATACTATCCTAATCCTCCAAAGAATCCAAAACCCATGCCCTCAACCCATGCCCTCAACCCCAGAGTTGCCATTTTCTAGGCTTCAAAAACGACCAAAGACACTATGCGGCTGCTGTAAGACGGTTATTTAACCTTGTACAACCCTGATAAAAGCCTTAGAGCCCCCATAACTATTCATGTAGAAACCAGTGTAACGTAGGATTCCTCAGTATGAGTGTTAAAAAAGCACACCAAGACCACAGTCTAATTCTTAAAGCCCCTAGACTAAACTCCAGTGGTGATTCTTCTAGAACCTAGAACCCCATGAAGGATTTCTTCGAAGGAGCCCTTTCTACTTGTTACGAGGCCTCTCTCTCTCTCTCTCTATGTATGTATGTATATATATATATACAGATTCTATGTGTATGCATATATATATATGCAGTGCCTTAGCCCCGTTTAGAGACAGCCTTGAGGTCATGGAAGTGAAGTCGAACCTTCTCAAGGAAGAGAGGCCGCAGGGCCAGGGTTTAGGGGCTCGGGTTTCAGATCCAGGTTTCCTAGGCCCTAAACCTTAAACCCTTAAGCCCCATACCCTAAACCCTAAATCCTAAAGCCTATACCCTAAACCCTAAACCCAGTTTTAGGGTTCAGGGTTAAGGGGAGTCCTCGTCCAGCGGCTGGGACACGGAGGCGCTCAGGATGACGGGCAAGGGAGAAGTTTTAAGATTTAGGAAGTGAGGGGGTTTAGGGTTTGGGGTTTAAGGATATAGGGTTTGAGGGTTTAGGGTTTAGGGTTTAGGGTATGGAGTGTAGGGTTTAGGGTTTAAGATCTGTAGAGATTCGACTTGAGAAGGTTTAGGGTTGGGCCTTTGAAGTTCATGGCTTCCGGGTTGAGATTCCGAGTCTAGGGCTTATCTGGTGAGTTTCAGAAAATAGACAGGACACGGTTTAGGGTTTAGGGTTTAGGGTTTAGGGTGTAGGGTTTAGGGTTTAGGGTTAACCTTGAACTAATTACTAGGACCATTGTTACGAGGATAACCCTAATTCCTTATCAGTCTTATGACTAAGAATCCCTGACTGCCCTAACAGGTCTCGTGAAAGGCGTATAGAACCCTTGTAGAACCCTTCTACATCCCTTCCTATGCAATCCTTATGGAACGCTTCTAGAACCCTCCAGACAGACATTCTCAGGGCCTCTCCGAAAAAACCCAGTATAGTGCATGAAAACCGAGAAAGCCGCATTTTTACAGCTGACACAATGGTTGCAATAAATGCACAAGACGTGTTGCTTAGGGCTTAGGGACCACTTGGAGGTTCATGGGTAGTTATAAGTAGGGTTACAAGTAGGGTCACTATAGTTATAACCTATGTTAGGGGACTTATAACTCCACTTATAAGCGCCCTTGAACCTCCAAGCAAAACCCTGAACCGCCAGGCAGATGCTCCTCCGGCGCTTCAAAAGACCCGGCTTCAAGTTGGTCGCACAGGCAAGAGCTCACCACTCCCAGGGGTTTCGGGGGCCTCTTCATAGTCATGTTAGCACGGAGCCGTACAGGCAAGCTAGGAATTGTTCCTCGAGCGAAAGAACCAACAAACGAACGTCAGTACCAACAAAACTAGATGGGTCCTCGAGTTTCGTCAGCGGTGCTGGCAGTCTTTGCTTCGACATGCATTGGCCTCAGGCCCGCATTGACCCTTGTTACGTGGGACCCTTGGGCACGCACTTCTCGACGAGGAGATCCTAGCCAGAAGATACGTCGTTCTGGCTATTTGGGGTCAGGTTCCTGGAGGATCAGCGGACGTAGGAAAGCACTTTATACATACATGACGTCAGGGTTTGTAAGAGCTTCTCACTAAGGTTACCTTGTAGCTCTCCGTACTAGACTGAACCCCCTGATCCTTTTATTACTGGGCCATGTACTGCCGAAGCGATGCCTCGTTGTCAGCGCTCTCATCCTTGGGCCCTAAGCACCCAAGCCTTACGCATCGAAGTGGAAAAAGCGTGCTCCAATCTATGTCTATAGATAGGTACCTCCCTAAGCCCCACAAGTCAAGCTTCTTGGTCTCGGCTATTCCGACCAGGTTGTCATGGGTGAGCCACCCGCAGAGTTCAAAGAGATTGTCCACAAACAGCTGCTGCAGGGCTCCTACGGTGCTTTGCATGTTCCAAGAATGGGATTCGGGCTTAGATCCCAGGCCTTAGGGAGACCGTGTGCATGGCAGCGGGTTCTGTATTTGCCGTTTGTAGGTGTAGGGTAGCGCTGTGTTCATTCCAAGTCTCTCTCTGGGCGCGCAGATCGTGTGTGGAGGTTTTTCTGGGAGTACGCCATCTGGGCAGGTTGCGGTAGCTCGAAACGATGGGGTTGAATACTTGAAGGGACGCAAGCTGAAGCCATCCAGCATCAATTCTGCCTGGAGGTTCACGGGTAGTTTTAAGGTATAAGCAGGGTAACTATGGTTATAACCTATTGAGGGACTTATAGCTCCATATACATATATACATATATATATATATATATATACAACCATGAACCTCCAAGTGTCTCCCAGTGAAGAGAAGCAGCTGAAGCTGGACGAGGAGTGGAAGCTTCGTAAGGCGCCCGTGGTTGAGGGTTCCCAGAGATTCCAAGATCCCTAACTTAAGGAAAACACCTAATCCTATAATCGGGCCCCTTATACTATATTCCTTCTTAAGGAAAAAGCCTCAGCGTATAATCGGGCTTCTAATCTGATTTATGTATATTCCTTAGTTACCGGTTTTACCTCAAACCCTAAACCCTAAACCCTAAACCCTAAACCAACTATCGGAAGGTCTGGGTGTCTTGGGCCTCGGTCCTAATATACAGCGAGCAATAGAAGATGTTCGGCTGCCTTGGCTCCTGACTTTTCAAAGACAGAACCCCAAGGGTCCAAAGGACCCAAGAATCAGGTACTTAGGTTTCGGATAGTAGTTCTGTAGGGTTTTATTTGGGAAAGTAAAGGATAAATAGGTACTTGGACCCTTAGGGGAAGTGGAGTTTGGAGCCGTTTTTCCCCGACTCGCACGTGGAGAGATACTGACCGTTCAGCCACCCCAACTCAAAAGGAGCTTCGTAGTGTGACCAAGGACCCTTCCTGAAAGCTAGGCCCAAAGACTACTGCATGCCCTGAAAAACCAGCTAAAGCCCTATAAACCCTAAACCCCTAAACCCTAAAACCCTAAACCCTAAAACCCTAAACCCTACTGCATGCCCTGAAAAACCAACTAAAGCCCTAAACCCTAAACCCCTAAACCCTAAAACCCTAAATCCCTAAACCTAAAACCCTAAACCCTATAGCCTCTTAATTCACGAGCTCGAGGCTCTCTTGAAACCTTGACATGCCAGGTTCTCGGCTCTGACTGAACCTGGACCCTAAACAACCCACCTTTTCAGGGCTCCTTATTATAGTTTCTCTATATAAGTCCTTAAAAAGGTAGGTTCTTTTGGGGTTAAGGAAGTCCCTGAGGGTTCGGGTCACATCGCTTTGAAAAGGCCAAACATATCATGATCGAAAGAGCCCTTGCCGCCCGGCTCTGCGGTGTAGGTTTAGGTTTGGGTTGAGGTTTTATGGTATCTCTCTAACCCCAAACCCTAAACCCTAAAGCCTAAATCCCAAAAACCCTAAAGCCCTAAAACCCTAAGCGCTATGCCGGCCTACCTTGATTTTATGGAGGTTCAGGGTCACAGGAAGGGTCTCTGGGACGCGAAGCCTCCCCCAAAGATCTCGCAGCAAAGACCAGCAAGACCTAGCCTCTAAAAGCCCTAGACCCCAAATCGGAATATTCCAAACCCTTACCCTCTCTACTGTGTAGCCCTTGCTTTACACCCTAAAACAAACAAGCATCAGCGTCAGGCGGAAAAAGAGCGTGAGCGCGAAGCGCGTGCCCGCGAAAGGGAGCTCGAAGAGGAGCTGGGGGACAAGGGGCTTGTAGAAGGGCTTTGTAATGAGAGTCTGTATCCCATGGAGTTTGAAACGATTGAAACGGTCCATGTCGGGGTTTGTTTAGGGGCTTGGAGTTCGGGGGTTACGAATTTAGAGTGGCTGGTTCGGGGTTTGGAGCATAGGGTTGGGTTTTGGAGTTACATTGAAATACGTAGACTCTAGGGCCCTCTGACGGGCACTACAGACTAGTTAGTGGGCTATGATAGTTTTGGAGATTCGCTGGGTTTGCGAGTCCATTCCTTATGCGTTTGTTAGAGTTTTGGGGTTAGGATCCAGTTTCTTTAGCTCCCCTAAACCCTAAACCCTAAAACCCTTAACCCTAAGCCCTAAACCCTAAACCTTATAAGCCCTAAACCCTAAACCCTCAAACCCTGGTTAAGCGTGATGTGCTACCGAATTTCATGTTTGATTCCTCTCGGCCCCTTGGTTGGACTCATCATCTTTGCCATTCTGAGCTTACTTTCGACTTTCCGAGAGAATAGCTTTAAAGCTTCACAAAGAGCCAGAGCCACAGCTTCTGACACACCGATTTTTTCTAACCTTCCGTACATCATGGCAAGATCCTCTATACTGAAAGGTCAGCAGGTTTAAAAATGCTATTTTGTACCACGGCTCATGTCATGCAGAATAAGTAGATTCATCTACAGTTGCCTTACTTACAGCCTAACTTGGTAAGTCTGCTGGTTCGGGAGTCTCCGAGTATGAGCCAGCAGACTGCGGCAGGCCCGAAGGAAAGCCGAGGCTGACGCGCTGGCACGCGCGCAGGTGCTTGGGAGAGGGCGTCGGCTTTCAGTTTTGTGTTTTGCAACCCTGGCGCTCCATGTGCCATGTACCTACGATATACTTAGGCCTTAGATGTTCCTGTAGGTACTCTAAGGGCTAGGGACATTCTATGTAGGTACATGGACCCTTTTAGGGTTTGGAAGAGGGCCGCATCGTCTTCCAATTCGTCGTCTGATTCGCAAGGGTCAGGTCTTCAAACGAAGTTTACCAATTACAAGGGTTGTATACGGTCTTACAACGAGTTTACAAGTGTTTTATGAACATGAATTTGTGAGGGGTTCATCCGGTTTGGGGTTCAGGGTTGGTGCTTTAGGTGTTTTGTTTTAAGGTGCGAGTGTTGCCAAAGCCCTTAACTAACGAGCTTGACCGGATCCCTAAGCCCACAACATGTGCAAGACAAAGTGAAGCTGCTACACAATCCTGACGGCCCTCCTGTAAAACAACTACAACACCCTAGCTGGGCTCTGCAACCTCTCCAACTCTGAAAGCCTGTACCCAAGGGCTCCTTCACCGTCCTCCCGAAAAAGCGGTTCAACGGATCAAAAGCATGTCAAAACAACAAAGAGCAGCAACCCTTATATTAGCCCTAAACCATGAACCCTAAACCCTAAACCGACATACAAAGCCTTCGAACCCTACCTACACCCCTAAACCCTAAACCCTAAACCGACTTATACAGCCTTCGAACCCTAGGAAAAGCAAACGGCTGAACCCAAACCGTTCGTCCCGGGGTCCCTTTTCCGAGGCCGAGGCGATGGCGCAAGCAGAGGCCCGAGCTGTGTACTATAATATAGGGCCTTATAATAGTTAGAATGGGTTTTTGGGACAACAGAAGCCTTGGTAAGTAATATAGGGGCCTTGATAAGTAGAATAGGGTTTTGGGGGTATAGTTTACTATAATTGTAATAAGGAACCTTATAGGGGCCTTAGAATAAGTAGAATAGGTTTTGGGGACCCATTAAATATAGTATAATGATAACCAGGAACCCACAGAATGGTATATGTAGGTAATTATTTAGGCCCCTACATTAGAAGCCTTGATAGGTGGAAGTGGGTCCTAGGTACTGTTATGGGTGATACTTTCCCAGATCATAGTAACAATTCCTAATATAGGAACCCTACATTCTACCATATAGGTACGTTGGACCCTTTGGGAAGCAGAAGAGGGTTCCTTCAAAGGGTTCCTTTAAGGGTTCCCGGTCTAGGGCGTAGAAGAGGGTTCCTCCAAGGTTAAGGGTTTACAGGGTCTAGGGTCTAGAAGAGTGGTTTCCTTTAAGCGTTCCCGCAAAGGGTTCTGTAAGAGTTGTAGAAGCCTTAATAAGAAGAAGGTTCCTTTAAGGATTTAGGGTTTAGGATGTAGAAGAGGGCTCCTTTAATAAAAAGGGTTCTGTAACAGGTTTGATGTAAAAGGGTTTACAAGGACTACTATAAGGCTTTGCTGTAGAAGCCTGAATAAGAAGAGGATTCCTTGAAGGGTTTAGGGGTTAGGGTCTAGGGTGTGGAAAAGGGTTCTTTTCAGGGTTCCTTTAAAAGGTTCTATAAGGGTTACTATAAGGTTTTTACTGTAGAAGCCTTCATAATTAAAAGGGTTCTAAAAGGGTTGCTGTAAGGGTTTAGCAAAAGGGGCCTTAATAAGTAGAATAGGGGTGGGCTCCTTCAAAGTATTTTTATAATAAGGAACCCTCAGGAAGAATATTGGCAAGTGTTAAGAAGTCTTCGGGCGGTGGAGTTCTTGCCAGATGCGGCGTTTAGGGATGTTTAGGATTCAGGGTAATTTTAAGGTTCAGGTTGGTTGTTGTTGTTGTTGTTGTTGCTGTTGTTGTTGTTGTTGGTACACACAAAACAGCAGCCGGTAACTTCTGTTAATTACAAACATTTGGGAATGCTTCCGGCGACCGCAAAGGGTACGTGTAGAGTTTTGGGGAATGCAAGCCATGGTTTACACAGCATCTGCCCCATAACAGAAATGCGCCGTAGGCTGGGTGGTTGTTGTAAACGGGGGGGGGTCAAAACAACAGAAGGGGCTCCAGTTTTGGTCTCTA